AGGAGGCCTGGTCAAGGACCGGGCCTCGGGACGTTAAGCCCCGAAGTCATCTCTAAATAACTTCAAGATCAACTTTACCATCACTATAAATCACGAACCTTGGTAGTTACACAAGTACTAAATCTTCTCTGTCACGTCCCCCAACACATTTACTGGCTCTACCGGCCCTTAACACTTTCAACAATGCATGAAGATAGATAGCAAATAATAGAGAACTAAAAATAATAGAGAACTTTTCCGGAAGGGAACATCATTCCTTCCTGGAAAAGTTAAGAGTTCCTTCTTTCAACTTGTAACCGTTCAATCTCCATTCCGCTGCTGCTTGTATATTTTTGTTTAAATAAACGATACACTGTCTGTTTTCTTTACCTCTCTTTTCATCTCTCAAATAATATTGTTGATTTTAAGCTCCTTTCAGATCTTTTGTCTACACTGTTGACAGACCTTGTGAGTCGACTCGATTACTAATATTTGAGGCCGTCTTTTAGAACGCTTTTTTTCATTCTTTCTTTCTTAGTCCTTTTCATTTGTCAATACTGAACTTACAAATTGTACAATACACAGGCAGACACTTTTTTACTGATTTTCTCTCTGTTCTTCTTCTATATATATATTTTGGTCAAAATCGGCAGGTTCTTCACTACCTCAATAAACAGCGACCCCTATTACCATGACCCTTAATCTTCTTATTCCACCTCTGTTTGCACCGGTGTAATTTTAACAGAGCAAAATTAAAACTCCCTATGACCTGCGATTCGATTAATTTCATGTTGATTTTTCCTGTTCCTCGAGCGATTCTTCCTTTTCATCTCACCTACTTGGTGCCGCCCGCCGCAGCTGTATCTCACGCTGTGCCTCGCGTAGTTCCAGAAAGTGCGTTCCTTGGAGTACTTCGAACTCTGCCCCGGACTGTCCAGTGTGCGTGCAGAGCCTGGAAATGAACCGACTCTGGCTAACACCGAACTCCTTCATTCCATTAAGAACACGAGTGCTCTGGCCCCACAGGCTCATTCCTATAACTACACGAAAGAGTTGGAGATCTTATGTGTGAACTCTTACCAGAGTTTATTTACTCTTTCTGATCCCCAATCAGCTCTGAAGTATGGGTTTGTAGCAGCTTGTGTGATGCTGAAGGTGGAGTGTAACTGCTGTTATATAGGAGTGTATTAACTGCTGGGACTATTAAGTTGCAGTTTGGGTTGGAGAGTGTTGTAGCTATATCTCTGGTGTATGTAAGAACGGCTTGTGCTTCAGGGCCATGAGAACGGGTAGTGCTTCAGGGCCATGAGAACGGCTAGTGCTTCAGGACCATGAGAATGACCAGTGCTTCAGGACCATGAGAACGGCCAGTGCTTCAGGACCATGAGAACGACCAGTGCTTCAGGGCCATGAGAACGACCAGTGCTTCAGGACCATGAGAACGGCTAGTTCTCAAGGGCTATGAGGAACGGCTAGTCTTTAACACAGCACAATGTCATGCACTTGACTCATAAACACACCATGCGCCCTTGTTTAACCTTACTCGCAGCAGATGTGCGTTTATCTGTACGTGCTCCAATATCCAACATGAATATATAAATGAATAAGTGAATAAATACAAATGTTCATTATACATTCATGTGTCCATCACGACCTTTCCTTTGTCTATGTTAATATTTAATGTGGAAAAAAACATTTTTTATATAGATATTATGTTTTTTTTCATTTCAGTTGTTGATTAATTCTGGTGAATTAAAAATTCAAATATATATATATTTATATATTTGCAACTTGCAACAATGCAAGTTGTAGCACAATCAGGCACTGCACGATGTAGCACAGTGAAGTACTGCAAGTTTTAGTTCAGCGAGGTATTGCAACATTGTAGCACAGAGAGGCGTTGCAACATTGTAGCACAGAGAGGCGTTGCAACATTATAGCACAGAGAGGCGTTGCAACATTATAGCACAGAGAGGCGTTGCAACATTGTAGCACAGAGAGACGCTGCAACATCGTAGCACAGAGAGGTCCTGATAGATTGCACAGAGAGGAACGGTAACCTTATAATAGAGAGAGGTGTTGCAAGACTGTAGCACAGCCCTGATAGGGGATAGAAATTCATCGGTGTGCTTTAACTTGAGCCTGTGACTTGTCGTTGTCTGTTAATTCCAGAAGCGAATACGCCACTTGCTTGGCTAAAGAGAAAAATGAGATTCCTTTTCTCCCGAAGATACAATAACGTTCCTAACATCATTAGTCTCTCGCATGAGGAAGTCTGACACTTCAGATATAACTTTCTCAGCGATTGTGGTAATTCTCTACAGTACGGTATTTCTACTTCACCGTTAGTCCTACTGTTTCTACTTGGGTGAGGAAGATACGTAAAAGGAATGGGTGGCCTTCCTTCAGAATTCTTCAGTCACTCAATTGTCTTTCAAGACGGTCTAGAAAACCCGCCAGCTACTACACACATGCCAGAATTTTAGTAATTCAAAGTAATTCTGTTTAGTAATTCACCCTAATAAGTTGAATTACTAAACACTCCTCATTCATGCGACTCTTTAGACTATGATGTGACGCATTGTGAGAGCCAATCCTGGCCTTCCTGAGGAAAAAATCCTACTGTCGCCTGATTGGATCCGATTCTTTAATATCATGGCCAATAGATGTTGATTGCGGGATATTTTTCTGATATTGTGGGCAATAAAAAATTGGTCACGTGACAGCTCACGCTTACTAGCTGTCAGTCGATATTTCCACATCAGCAACTATAAGGTGTGGCGTGAGACACCATTTTATGAAAACATAAATTGTTAAACGCCACACGCAATAAAAGATATCAATTACACCAAAATCTCATAATACTAAATTAATATATATATATATATATATATATATATATATATATATATATATATATATATATATATATATATATATATATATATATATATATATATATATATATATATATATATATATATATTAGAAGGATTTTATTTATCATACTTCTTAATTATTCCGTATAACGAAGTATGTCATAAAGTACTTAAGATAATTTTCATTTTTTCCGCGATGTCCTTGACATCCCACTTGTTCAAGAGTTCTAACAGAACGTCGCATTTTGACGCATCCTTTACCTAAGGTAATTTAGGAGAGAGGGTAATTTAGTACGACCGTTTCTTAACGTTCGGAAACCTTAGGAGAACTTGGGTGTTTCAACACACACCTGTGGTATCCTCTCACTAATACACCAGGTACCTAACTGGTGAAGATTATGTACATGAAGAAGTAAACACAACATCAGCGCTCTCATTCCAAGAAGATAAACTATGATAGTCAGACTCGCAATGGGGAAATTTGGCCGTGAATGAGATTACGGCATCACAACCCATCACCAGAGGCGGCGGGGGATATGGACACCACTGTGGACGGTGACAAATGACCGTCATTAAGGCTCTCGCAATTTACAAGCGTTGCACGCAAGAAGCCCGTGATCTGGCGGGATTGTGAGACTATGCTAATGATACTCTCTCCAGTCAAGCAGCTGATCTCATAATCCCAGGGAAGAGTTAAAGACGCACATTATAGTGGCGATTTACCACCGCACGGTGTAATGGGAGTTATCATCACACGGTTTAATGGGGAGTTATCATCACACGGTGTAATGGGAGTTATCATCACACGGTTTAATGGGGAGTTATCATTACACGGTGTAATGGGAGTTATCATCACACGGTGTAATGGGAGCTATCATCACACGGTGTAATGGGGAGTTATCATCACACGGTTTAATGGGGAGTTATCATCACACGGTGTAATGGGAGTTATCATCACACGGTGTAATGGGAGTTATCATCACACGGTGTAATGGGGAGTTACCACCATACGACGTAATGGGGCGTTACCACCACACAGTGTAATGGGGAGTTATCACCCCTCTGTGTAATGGGGAGTTACCACCACGTGATATAGTGGAGAGTTACTATCACACTATATAATGGGGTGGTACCACCACTCAATACAGTGGGTAGTTAATGTCACACTGTATAGTGAGGAGTAAATGATACATGATAACTTACTAGCAGTTAAGTCTAAGTGGCAAAGCGAACAATCTTAATTAATTGTTTAATGCTAACCAAAGAGAAACTAATTATTTAAATATAATGCCTCAGGATTGGCAAACACAATTGCCTAACTTGAAGATGATACTGAAATAACGACCGGAAATATATTCAGAAAACTCAAGAAACCAATGCTGCATAACTATTTAAACAACTTTTTAAAAATGAACGAAATATTCGAAACTGAATGCTGACTCGTGTAAGGTTCTGAGCCTAGAGGGGTGAAAATTGAGTACTGGGATATATATATGAACACAAATACCTTCAAACTGAAGCTGATACAATCGTTCTTCATTATCAGAATGTTTAAATAATAAATAAAGGAGGACTCCAGGGTAGTATCAGGTCGCCCCAGTGAGTGAACTTGTTCGCTGGTGCGACACAACTAACTATACATGTTGTGATGTTCTATATTTAGAGTTGGTAGTGGCGCAGGATGATTGTTGATCCAGCAGTGAGTGCTCGCCAAATGGAAGGTGATTATTAAATAATAAAAAAAATGATCGAGGTGACTGACGAGAGGATGTCGCTGGACAATTTTTACCCTTCCTGGAAGAATCAACGATAAAAAAATAAATACTGGCCATGAACAAATCCACAAGGGCCGTGACGATGATTCGAACCTGCGTCCGGGAGCATCCCAGACACTGCCTTATCCTCGTCACGGCCCTTGTGGTTTTGTTCATTTGATGCATCACGTTAGTGTGATCTCTGTGTGTAAATACTGGCCATATTACCAACATCTATTATTAGTATAACTGTCGTTACTTTTATTATAATAAATATTATGTCATTATTAAATATTGGGTTATTTTGATTGAAATTATTATTGCGATTTCTGCTGAAATTAACTCTTTGTATACCAATTACTTAACCTAAACATTGTTCCTTCTGCAGGTGGGCTGTTCGACTTGACGGACGACAGGCAAGAAGAGGCCTTCCGCTACGCTGTGGACGCCATCAACACCGACAGGACGCTCCTGGCACATGCACGACTCTCTGCTCAGATAGAGGAGATCCCTCCCAACGACTCCTTCAGGGGCTCTAGGAAAGGTATTATAATATTTGCTTGTGTGTGGAGTCTTGGGAAGATACTTTAACATATGAGGAATGTGGATACTACCAGGGTTCTAGAAAAGGTTTTTCACACTTTAGATATAGATGTGGTTCTGCGGGGTTCTAGGAGAGATATTCTAGCACCTTATAAGCGTTATTTATTGCAGAGGGGTCTAGAAAAGAAACCAACTATTTAGCTCAAGGAATCTAAATAATTGCAAATTGTATTGTGCTCATCAGTAAGATATAAAAGAGGTTGTAAGCACCTTGTAAGTACTCAACTAATACAAGTGTTAAAATAGCAGTAATAAATAGCTTGTAAACTTTAAAATATATATATGGAACAATTTACTGCTCATTAATAGTGCTAAGGGAAAAGCAATACCTCTAGTTAATGCATGCTCCTACATTGAACTTAAGAAACTATTACATGCTAATAATTTTAGCACTGGCTTTCACTGCGTGATTTAGTAAGATAGAGAACATGGCATTAACACACTTAACAGAATAGTTTATTGCTGTGAGAACTGACTGGAGTTTATTGTAGCCAGGTCGCACCTTGCTTCAGACATTATGTTGAGAGATCGTGTTTTATACCATCTCTTAGTTCTCAACTTATCGCCCACTGGCAATTCAGCTGCTGGTGAGAATAGTGAGCAGGTATAACGCCTCAGCGCAGGGGGAACTGCGTGATTTGGTGACCATTATATTTCACGATGACCTTGGATACTTGGTGATCACACTGTTATTTTGGCTAATCTCAGTAGGAATGATCATCTTGTACAGATGATCAGATCATCTTCGTCAGAAGAGACTCTGTTGCTATTTGGCGGAACTCATTGTCTTGGTGACCTGGAAACTGAAGCATTTTCCGAACAATTCCCGGTCTCTCAGAGAATTTAGGAGATTAGTAACAAGAATCTAAAATACTTTTGTTTTTTAGATTTTGTGTACTTTTGTATTTTTTTGTACTTTTGTGTGGCTGAGGAGTTGATCCACATGAACTGTAGTCGTGTTGACGTCCTTGTATTAGTTGAGAAATTGTACTTCAACCCTTTCTGTGTGTGGGGATTGTCAGAGAGTGAACCGGGGACGGTTTACCCTCCAGAACACTCGGTTCCCGTCTAGAATGTGGACGGGAACCGTCCTTGAATGTGTGAACCAAGGTATAAAAGCCTCCTTAAATGTTTTATTGGTATTAATAGGATGTTGTTAAGATGTGTGAACAGTTTGGGGGTGCAACGTCATAGATGAATCAACAAGACCTCGGGTTTATGGGTCTAGCAAAAGGTATCACAACCTTCTGAATATAGAAATACATACATTTACAACCGTTTATGAGTTAACAATTTGAATATAGTAATTACTCGATAAATACGTTGATACCATAGATTTTTAACGATTTTTGGAATAAGAGACATTAATTACTAGAGCAAACTAAAATGCCTCACCCATTCTGCCTCATTCATACTTATTGTCTCACCTGTATATCTGAATCCAACTGCAGCAGTCAGTATTAACGACATTATTCACAGTAACTCAAGAACAATATATTTTCCCCTCACTATAAGCCACTCTATGTCTGACTCTACAGTGACTCTCCAATACTACAGTGTCCCCCCCCCCACACACACTGTTACGCAAATATTCACCATCTCCGCCACACTTATCCTCACTGATTTCATGTTCCATTCATGATAATAAAACGCATTAACTGAGCCGACCTCAAATCACTTAGTATCTTTCGCACGTTACAGTCACTAAGTCAAGTGTCCGCTGTGTTTTCTTCTCACTGCTGTCACTAAACCACACTATCTTCCCACAGTGTATAATCCATATTCTCACACGCTACACCAACTAAACCACACAGTCTTCCCATGGTGTATCTCCTGTATATCCCCCCATCCCAACCCACTAAACACACTAACCCACTGTCACCGTCTATCCCCCACAGTGTGTTCGCTGCTTAAGTCGGGAGTGGCAGCCATCTTCGGCCCGCAGTTCGGACAGACATCAGCCCACGTGCAGTCTATATGTGACGCTCTGGAGATTCCACACATAGAGAACAGATGGGACTTCAGACTCACCAGAGACGCCTATTCCGTTAACCTCTACCCCCATCCTTCAACTCTAGCAAAGGTACATATTTTCTCGCAACAGGTTAAGGGGAATATAAGAGCTAACAGGAAGGGAAACTAGAGGGGGTGATAAGGAATCGAAAAGGGGAGAAGAGTGGTGATGAAAGGTGGAAAGAGGAGGAAATGAATGAGAAAAAGTGGAACTGAACTGTGTTCGCTTCTTAAAATTAAAACGCCGAAATACTCGATATTTTATCTTTAGGGCACAGTTAGCCTCCTTGTGTGTTAATCACAAAATAGATTCATCTGTGAGTGTTTTAACCTCTGGGTTACTGGAGATCAAGCCACCTGATAAACGGCTGCCGACTCCTCCATTTGTCACACCACCAGAGTGATAGAAGCAACAGAGTGATAGAAGCACCAGAGTGCTAGAAGCACCAGAGTGCTAGAAGCACCAGAGTGATAGAAGCACCAGAGTGATAGAAGCACCAGAACAACAGTGATAGAAGCAACAGAGCGCCAGAGTGATAGAAGCAACAGAGTGATAGAAGCATCAGAGTGGTAGAAGCACCAGAGTGATAGAAGCACCAGAGTGATAGAAGCACCAGAGTGATAGAAGCACCAGAGTGATAGAAGCACCAGTGATAGAAGCATCAGAGTGATAGAAGCACCAGAGTGATAGAAGCACCAGAGCACCAAATTGATAGAAGTAACAGAACATTAGAGTGATAGAAGCAACATAACGCCAGAGTGATAGAAGCAAAGGAACACCAGAGTGATAGAAGCAACAGAGCACCAGAGTGACAGAGGCAACAGAGCACCAGAGAGATAGAAGCAATGCAGAGTGTAAAAAAGTAGAGATTACCCGAACATCTGTGGGTAAAACACAGACGGAATCTTTGCAATACCTTTCCTGAGCTCCACGACTCCAGGAATTTTTCCACACAAACTCTTTGACGTTACTGATGGGTGTCTGGAAATACGGTCATCTTACCGGTATGTGTTCCATGACCGGGAGAGACGCAGCAGACGGAGACGACACCGGTATGGAATGAGTTCCTGGAATGTGAAATGAAACGTGGAAAGCCTGGGTACGCCAGACACCGATTTTCTGCTGTGTTTTATTATTGAATGTTGTATGTTTTGTGTTATGTTACGATATGAGAAGCCTTGATGGACCAGAACTAAATCATGATATTTAATATCGGGCAGATATCATGATATCTGCCCGAAACGCTTTGCGTAATAGTGGCTTTAGGCATTGTATGTACTAGCTCTATCTATAAAGCCAACAAACTTTGTAAAATCTCTTTATGTATGTACCTTACCTAAATAAAAATTATTATTATTATTATTATTAATGTGATCAAGAAGACATAGCAAGGAGGATAAGAAATGCAATGGGATTATGTATAAGACTTCATGCCCTAAGAGGAGAAGGACATGAAGTTTTATAGATACAATGTTTAAAACATGACAAAGATGGGAAGTGCATTTGTGAGATGTGAGGGGAGGAAATAGGGAGCAATGGCAGGTGGTACGAGAAGAGATGAACAAAATAAGGAAATAGAGAGTGATGATTAGATCTAGGCGAGGTTGCAAAACTTGGGTGCACAGCCAGAGTGCACAGCCAGAGTGCATAGCAAGAGTGCACAGTCATAGTGCACCTCCATTGGCTACAAACTCTACGGAAGTGAAAGTTAATGATATAACAATGAATTGATTTAAGCTCGCAATTTTTATATTCTGGATTCTGTTAACTGCGTAAAATTGACAGTAGAGTTGAATCATTGTAGTGATGATGTGCACGAGTACACATGTTAATAGTTACAATTTCACTGCTTTTTGCTGCTATTGACAAAATATGATTATTATACAATTTCTGCTGATTTCCCAGAGATCAGTGCTTAATAGTTTTCGTTATTAGAAGAAAAATAATAGTTTTGTTTTTTGTTTCAAAGTGTTTAGTAAAATGGAACTCGTTGTTATTCCCAGATTATCTTGCGGATTAATATGTGACCGTGCCAGGCTCTTTTGAATGTTTCCGACCCTGACCTGACTATGTTTGGCAGGTACCCCACAAGAATAAGGGTGCAAAGTAGAGTGAGGCCAGCACTAAGCGTCTGGCTTACACCCTCTAACTGACACCTAGGCACACACATAAGCAGACAGACTGGTATACAGACATACAAACAAGCAAGTTAGTTTATAGATATAAACAAAACGTATGTACATAATATTTCTTAAATAATATATAAATAGTCATTTTGGAAGTTCATTAATATACGCGATATTAAAAAAAAAACTTTTGCTTCAACGAAACGCCAATTACTAATAGTGCCTGCAAATTGTGTATTAGCATAGATTATGTCGGGTTACAATTCGTTTCTATATATTGATAAAGATTAGAAATAAATTTAGTGCAGTTATACAATATATATATTTTTAAAATCACTACATTATTTTGAAAACTTTAAATCCTTTAAGCTTCATAAAATATAGGTGCTTCACCTGGTGCTCTGTATAGGTAGAGCACACACCTCAAAAACTGTGTTCATGATTACAACGGTACATCTGGTCGTGCAGGTACATCTGGTCGTGCAGGTACATCTGGTCGTGCAGGTACATCTGGTCGTGCAGGCACATGTGCTAGTTAGACGGAAGTGTAACGTCGTGAAACGTATACGTATTTATTTGTCATGCATTGCAATTTTATACAAATTTAAAGTAAAACAATAGCCGCTTTATTTCAATTGAAATGTTTACGCTATCGTGAGTCTCAGCTTGTATATATATATATATATATATATATATATATATATATATATATATATATATATATATATATATATATATATATATATGTACACTGAATAAATTATATTGTATCACTACTCTCTCTCTTCCTCGGCAGGCGTATATGGACGTGCTGATGACGTTGGGTTGGCGTAAGTTTTGCGTCATCTACGAGAACAATAACGGCCTGGTGCGTGTTCAGGAACTACTCAAGAACCACACATGGCAGATCAATCTCAGGCAGTTGCCTTTTCACGACGACTACAGGTACCTCTCGTTTCAAACTGTGAAGTGATTTACACACAAAAATAAACATGTGATTTGCGTTAATCATGGGTTACAAATACGCTGTAAACAAGTCACAAATTGCTGTACACTTGCATCAAAGAAGGCAAACACATGTAATACAATCAGGCCAGTCACAGCAACTCAAGCAATCAAACCATAGTCATGCATACAAGCATACCATTGTCATGCATGAAATCCAACTATTGATATACATGCTAGCCTACAGTTCTTATGCATACAAATCATCCACCTTTAAACATCCTATTCAATTTTTGTCAAGCATGCAAGCCATATTCATTTGCATACATAGCATCATATGCACGACCACTGCCGTATGCATAAGGCGACCCCCTGTTACATACACAAATCACCTACTGACATATACAGAGGGTAGTAGCTGTCGTTAATGCAATAATGTAACCAGAATATTGTTGTAAACATAAGCCAACCAGAGCTAAACACCCTAATACAACTTCTCTCATTCACCCAAACTTACCACTGTTTCACATACAGACAAACTATTGATATTCATAGAAGCCACACACTACAATACCCACAAGCCAACCACTACAATACCCACAAGCCAACCACTACAATACCCAAAATCCAACCACTACCGTACCTACACGCCAACCACTACCATACCCACAAGCCCACCACTACCATACCAACAGGCTAACCACTGACATACCCACAAACCAATATGTTCGACAACACCACGAAAACTAACCCCCAGTTGTCAATATTACATGAATAAACATTCCGGATTAATGCATTGATTCAGCTTGTGATCGAGGCTTTCACCCAGTTTCGCCCGCAAATGATACTGGCCTGGGTTCGAGCCCCGTCAAGTTAGGCCAAATATGCGCCGATTCATTACTGGTTGCAAACAGTTCGAGGAGCGTGTTGTAGGAAATACAGCAAGTGTTAGGCTTAGGAGTTGTTGTGGGAAAGGAGTGCTACTGGACTGCTAACAGGTTTCAACACTCATACTGACAGATCAGCACTACTACTCACAGGTCAGCACTGCTACTCACAGGTCAGCACTGTTACTCAAAGGTCAACACTGCCATACACAGAAGTCTACAGTGACATACATACAAGCCAACACCTTTGCTAAATCTACTCAAAAGCCGAAACCTTTTTACTCTCACTAATACCTTTTCTGTGAAGTAATTACAGGGCATGAAAAACTGTGGACTTGACAATAACACGGTAATTATGTTCCCATTATGTCTGGTGCCAAGTTCCGCTAAGTCTAAACTACGGCTGTGTGTATTGCAAAGTATTACTTTTCTTTTTTCCATTTCTTTGGTGCAGGAAAAATGCAAATTAGTTTGGGATAGTGCTGCAAGAGGAAGGGTTGGGCGTGGGGTGTTGGGCGGAGTGGGCTGTGGGCGTGAGCTGTAGGAAAGAGAGAGGGAGGGAGGGTGGGCTGGAAGAGGAAAGGTAGACTGTATGCTGTAGGAGAGATCTGGAAGAGGAAGGGTGGACTGTGGGTTGAAGGAGGGACGATAGGGTGTGGGTTGTAGGAGTGAGGGTGAGGGATGTGAATTGAATGAGTATTGATTCATTGATTGATGAAGGTTAAGCCACCCAAGAGGTGGCACGGGCATGAGTACTAAGTGGTAGATATTTTGAGTGAATGATCTTTGGTCGTGAATGAAGGGGAAGAGGTGATGTGTGGGATATAGGAACTGGGGGTGAGGTGTTGACTGGTAGAGTGAGAGTGAGCGTTGTTAGAGTGAAGTAGAAAGTGTGGGTAGTAGGAGGACTGTTGGAGTGAACGCAGAGTGCAGGTCGAGTGTAACTGTTGACGTGAATGAGATTGGGGTGTCGGAGGTAAAGTTAATGAGACCCCTGACCGAACACGCGGAAGAAAGTACAGAATAGTTAATACCCAGCACAAGATTACTCTCTGAGCCACAACGAGGCAAGCTTGCAGGAAATAATTAGGAAGCTGACTTTCTTTCTTCAGAAGAGCATGATTATTGAAGTTATAATGAAAGTAGGCCTTCATGATCAAATTACCGAGGTAACAGACGAGAAAACTATTTTCATTAAAAATATAAAGAACACAGTTGGGACAGTATATAAAATATTGAAGTGAAAGTTTCTGCTATTGCTGTGGTATCATAGTGTAGTGGTGGTGGTGGAACACGGTGTGGTGGTGTCAACAGAGTGTGGTGGGGAAAGCCACACAGTGTGGTGGTGATGGTGGTGGTGGGAGCACAGTGTGGCGTGTTGAGGTGAAGGAAAAAAGAGGAAATACTTCCCGAGAACTGAGAAGCGCAGCGACCCTCCTACAGTTCTCTCTAACTTTCTTTCACTCTTTTTTTCCCTTCCCAATGTTATCTTCGCCTGGCTGTACTCAGGTTACAACACCTGTTCCACCACCAAATGTTAGCCTTAGCTCCTGTCCCACCTACGAGCACACCGGCCGCAGCTGTAACACCTGATCCTGTACAAGTCGTTAACACAAGGTGATCACACCTGATGTGGTAATTATCTCTCCGACAGACCGATGTTGAAGGACGCCAAGAAGACCGGAGTGACGCACGTCGTCCTGGATGTCGAGCGTAAGAACATCTTCACCGTCCTTAAACAGGCGCAGCAGATAGGCATGATGACCTCCTATCACAACTACTTCATCACCTCATTGGTAAGTTGATGGCTTCGAATATACACCCGGCACTCCCATGTCCTACAACACTAGCCCGGCACCCCTTGTACTCCAACACTAACCCACCACCGCATGTTTTCCAACACTAACCCACCACCCCTTTTACTCCAACACTAACCCACCACCCCTTGTACTCCAACACTAACCCACCACCCCTTGTACTCCAACACTAACCCACCACCCCTTGTACTCCAACACTAACCCACCACCCCTTGTACTCCAACACTAACCCACCACCCCTTGTACTCCAACACTAACCCACCACCCCATGTTAATTGTCAGCTGTATTTTTGGTTCAGGGTTGGTCGAGGGGGGGGGGATCAAATTTGAATCAATTATACCCTTTATAACCTTTTCATCCGTTTTGTGAACAGTAAGAAAGTAGTTCAAAATTAAGAATTGTATGTCAAACAGGTCCATTAGAGTTTATTTCTTCAACAATGATTTTGATTACCATTTCCATATATACAGTAGCGAATCTGTCGTTGACTTATTTATATATATGCCTCACTCTGCTGAATTCTTCGCCCACCTGCTTCCAATTGGTTTGTAAATTGGGTCCTCGATTTATGTAACAGATTCCCAGGACTAATAGACGTGGATATAATAGACGGATATTCCCAGGATATAATAGACGTGGGATCACTGTATTGTTCCAAGCCCAGGTTAGACATATATGAGTGACCTGAAGTAGGTACAAATAGGAGCTGTCTCACATTGGTCAACAGGCCTCTTGCAGTCTTCTATATCCTTGTGTTCTAATTTACAAAGTATTAACTTTGGAGTTTTTCATAATTTCTATTAAATTTCTTCCATACTTGTCTCTCTTAAGTCATCTAGTTAATGCGTATATATCTGAAGTAGATTGGCAAGAGCAGGACACATGATTCTCACTTAAAAGATCAACTGAACACACACACACACACGATATTGATGGTTATGCAAGGCTTAGAAAAATGGTTCTCTGAAAAGGGATTTAAATAGGTTTTAAACAGAATAGACCATTAGTTCTAAACAAGAATGTTTGTTTATGGAAAGCTTATGGATATACAAATAGCACATTGCGTAGAATTACAGGTACATCTGGTTAAAAATAAACCAGATTTGCAGGAAATGATTAGGAAGCTGACTTTCTTTCTTCAGAAGAGCATGATTATTGAAGTTATAATGAAAGTAGGTCTTCATGATAAGCTGGAAGGCAGTAAATTCAATCCTGTTTGCGTTGAAGTACATAGCAGTAGTGTTATTAATCTATTTTATATAAAATCTTTCTCTGAACAACAATTTGATGTATTTATATAAATATTTTTAAATCCTTCTTTTATCAAATCTCACTATCAATCAGTAAATAAATATCCATTCCAAACCTGTAGTTTTTTTTAGTATTTCTTCTGATATGAGTTCTAATGACAGCCCGCGACAGTTGAAATGGTATTGATCATCGTATCTATTGTCCTATGATCATCATATCTATGATCATCGTATCACGCATTTAGACTTGAGTCGATCATAAAAAAAGAGGCTTCGAGGACCGGGCCGCGGGGACGCTAAGGCCCGAAATCATCTCAAGATAACCTTCATGCTTAAGAATGGTCCACACTTAGGGTCTGCTTTATTCATTGCACTGCAACAGCAGTCGATCATTCTTGAGGTTATCTTGAGGTTATCTTGAGATGATTTCGGGGCTTTTAGTGTCCCCGCGGCCCGGTCCTCGACCAGGCCTCCACCCCCATGAAGCAGCCCGTGACTGCTGACTAACACCCAGGTACCTATTTACTGCTAGGTAACAGGGGCATTCAGGGTGAAAGAAACTTTGCCCATTTGTTTCTGCCTCGTGCGGGAATCGAACCCGCGCCACAGAATTACGAGTCCTGCGCGCTATCCACCAGGCTACGAGGCCTGATTAATTATCCATTAATTAAATTATTAATTAAACTTTCATACTATGGTCGTCATAACATCTTGAAATTGCAAAAAAACAAAACGGCATAATCGACAATTTACATGTAAAGTTACTAAAAAAAACGGCAATTTGTTTATGTTGTCGAATATAAATATATTCAATAAATATATAAATAAATATTCGATAAATATTCGGTGGATATAAAACTTTGTTTTCTAAAAGAACATATTTAATATTTGTTAAAGACTGATGATATTATACTTAAATTAAACAAGTACAAATTTGTTTGATTTAATAATTTATAGGAAATCATTATATATACAAAAACTGTTTCATTTGCCCTGCTGATAAGATGTAAATAATTTCAAATTAATTTAAGCACAGTTCCTTTTACATCACATATTTACTCCAAATATTTATAAACACAAGACACAAATAAATAATTTACCCCCCCTTCAGAGAGGCAAGATTAATTTGCCCAATATCTGAATGTTGGATGCTTGTGGTGCCGCCCGCAGGACCTACACACCGTGGACCTTGAGGACTTCCGTCACGGCGGGACCAACATCACCGCCCTCCGGATCGTCGACCCAGAGAACCCGTTGGTCCAGCGGGTTATTCAGGATTGGGTGTTCGGGGAACTACGCTACGGCCGCAACGTCGAAGCTACCGCCAGCACGCTCAAGGTGAGTAGTATCCCCCTGTAGACAGAGCTGCGGGCCGGGACTGCTCCAGTGTGTGTGGTAGGAGAATCATATGTTTCACAGGTAATGCTCCAGTGCCTCGAGGGACAGATCCTTGTTCCCTTGTCTGTTCCCTTGTCTCTGTTGCCTTGTGAAAAATGAAGTGAAAGAATTGTTTCTGAAGGTGAGTGTTCCATAGCTGGTGGTGGGGGAAGACTAGGAGAAATTTGACAGTCGTTTAAATATTAAACTTCTAAAATGATTTAAAGTATTGAAATAGATTATATTTTTAGTTTAAATCAGCTCATGAAAGACTGTGTTAGGTAATAATTAATCATATTTTCACGGTCGATGGGATATATGCTTGATTTAATCAAAATTTATTACCTTAATCACTGAAAATCTAATGGATAGATGCTTTGCAAATTCATTGATCAAGTAATTGGTATTTGTAAATCGTTATTACGTGGAATATCTCAGCCAAAAAAGTAATATTGATATTGTTGATAAATTTAATAATATTGAGATCAAAGTTGATTCAAACCGAGTTTGAATTCATAAGAGTTTCACTTCATACCAAAATGTACAATAAAGCTTCAGTAAATAATATACTTGAATCTGTCTCCGAAGAGCTCTCCGAAGGCTTGAATACGATATAAAAAAATCTGAGTTTAATGGATGTTTTCATTCGGAGTTCGGAATATTAACTTATATATATATATAAGCAATTTATTAAAACTAAATCTAAATATCTTATATATATGTCCGGGATTTATATCATTATTTGTTTACTATTAAATTCTGAGATCCTCAATAAATTCCATGTAGATGGCTCAAGTTCTGCCACTTTCTCCGTCGCCTGTGGCGTTCCAAAAGGTTTCTTTTTCCTTCTCTGTTGCTTTTATTCTTACACTAGGATCATCGTAGTACGCCTAATCTGGTATTTTCTTAGGCTGATGATTAATTTTTCACTCATTCCTACACTTTAAACCTGGTACTTTAGTCACATATATTTCCAATAAAACGCAGCTTATCCCAGTTGTATTAAAATAAACTTGTAGGCAATACCAGCTATGTTCCTAATGGCTGACGCTGTAACACTCAATACCTCTTGTACTTCAACACTCAACCAACATTCCTTGTACCTTAACACATCCCCAACAACCTTGTACGCTAAAATATACCCACTACCCTGTGTACTCTAACACACACCCAGCACCGTATGTTCTGATTTCCGGGCCATCTCACTTGGCCTGGACATAATGTGATAGTTTGTGACCCGATTTCAAGAGAGAGATTTGGTCCTCAGTAAGACTGATTCCTGCGAGACATAGGACGCCATCTCTGAGCCACGAACCGCAATTGGACCATCAAACAAGGAGGTCAGGAAGTCAGTTTCTTGATGGGCCTTGTCTCAGTGCTGAAGCGATGTCGGTCTTCACGTTAAACGTATCGGTCGATGTTGATCTTGAGATCAGCGTCGATCCATTGTTCATCCACTGTTCCATACTAACTTCCTTCCCAAGTGAAGAAAACCTTACGAAATATAGAACAGATTCGCGCTGGAATCAATAATGCACACGTACATACGCATACTCACACAAACCCACTTAAACACAACACACACACACACACACACACACACACACACACACACACACACACACACACACACACACACACACACACACACACACACACACACACACACACACACACACACACACACACACACACACACAAACACACACATGGAATGCATTAGGAAGTGATGTGGTGGAGGCTGACTCCATACACAGTTTCAAGTGTAGATATGATAGAGCCCAATAGGCTCAGGAATCTGTACACCTATTGATTAACGGTTGAGAGGCGGGACCAAAGAGCCAGAGCTCAACCCCCGCAAACACAACTAGGTGAGTACACACACACACACACACACACACACACACACACACACACACACACACACACACACACACACACACAAAGTTAGAGAAGATTCAGCGGTATGCCACCAGGCTCGTCCCGGAACTGAGAGGATTGAGCTACGAGGAAAGGCTAAAGGAGCTGAACCTCACATCCCTGGAAAACAGAAGAGTAAGGGGAGACATGATAACCACCTACAAAATTCTCAGGGGAATTGACAGGGTGGACAAAGACAAACTCTTCAGCACGGGTGGGACACGAACAAGGGGACACAGGTGGAAACTTAGTACCCAGATGAGCCACAGAGACGTTAGAAAGAATTTTTTCAGTGTCAGAGTAGTTAATAAATGGAATGCACTGGGAGGTGATGTGGTGGAGGCTGACTCCATACACAGTTTCAAATGTAGGTATGATAGAGCCCAGTAGGCTCAGGAATCTGTACACCAGTTGATTGACAGTTGAGAGGCGGGACCAAAGAGCCAAAGCTCAACCCCCGCAAGCACAATTAGGTGTTAGGTGAGTACACACACACACACACACACACACACACAATAGATCGGTTTGATAGGCGCGTCCAAGAGTTAATAGTTCGATTCTGCTGGCACAAATAGTAAATACACAAACAACTTTGCAGGGTGACTGGGGAGAGATAGAATACTGTAATTGGCTAGTCTAGGTCTGCCCGATTCCTGCCATTAAAAGGAGTCGGCTCCCATGGCGACCCCCATGAAATCTGTGGGATAGTCAAAAGAGGATCATAGTCGGATCTAATGCCAATTTTCGGAGAGTCGGCCTCTATTACTCATCGTTTTCTGGATGATCCTGGTCACTGCGTCGATTAAAAGCGATTTAACCTCTGCCACTCCATGGCAAAGTTTGAACCAAAGGTCAATATTTTTGTAAATCATAAACCGCTTCTTCCATCTCTCTCTCTTTCTCTCTCTCTCTCTCTCTCTCTCTCTCTCTCTCTCTCTCTCTCTCTCTCTCTCTCTCTCTCTCTCTCTCTCTCTCTCTCTCTCTCTCTCTCTCTCTCTCTCTCTCTCTCTCTCTCTCACTATATATATATTCCCTTTTCTTCCCCATACTACTGTTTAACTCTGTCTCTTCTCGGTCCTCAACGCTTTCCCTTCCTGTCTTCCCTAGCAAACTGGGCCGCGCTCTCTCTCTCTCTCTTAAGGAACGCGCTCCAATTTCCTGTGTGGCGGCCGTCGTAAACATTTAGAGTCATGACAGCGTCCACATTTTTCTTGTGTCAACAGTCGCACCTGCTCTGAGCCAGCGAGGGAGAGCTTGGCGCGTGCCTTCCACCTTCTCTCTTGCAACACAAATTATTTTTAGGGGTATAAATTGAGGGGTGGGTGGGTTTTATAACACGTGGTATTATAAGTGGGTTTGATTGTGATGGCTTTGGTAGTGGGTGGTGGTTAGGGAAACTGGTATTAGCAGTCGTAGGTACCGTGAAGATGGTTGCTATTGGTGGGGGAGGCTCTGTGGTGGTGATATTTATGGCAAGGTCGATGTAGAGGTAGGGATTGTGCTGGATATGGAGGGGGTAGTAGTGATGGTATGGGTTGGGGCAGAGGTGGTGCAGTCCATGGTAGAAGCAATGGTTATAATTGTTATATTATGGGCACTGGTTGTGAACATTGCCATACCAGGAGAACAAGCAATGGTTGTGGCAATTTCAAAGCCGATGATGGTGGCTGCTATGGTACTGAGCAAGTTGGATTTACCTAGGTCTGCCTTTTTGGGTGCTGTCACATGTACAAATTAAGCTGTTTATGCAGTCTGTTTCAGCTGCATCACTTCATATCGTTTTTCATATACTTACTACTCTCACACAATGCATAATGCTTTCGTCGCCTGTTTGGGGACCTTGTTTCCACTTTTGTCCCGTTTCTCGCGTACCATCCATGCTAAAAAATCGATCCTTTTCGCCCCTGATTATTTCCTCTGAGTGTATGTGCTGATCATATCTTCCATGTTTATTCTCCGTATCTATTGATGTGACGTTCAATTATTTTTTAATCGTTCTTCGTAACGTTCCAACAGCTTTGCTTACTACTCGGATGGAACATCTCTAAGCCTCCACCAAGTTCGTTTTGTGTTTAGAAGATAACAACTAAACGCTGGGACGGCAAATGCTAGAATTGCTCTGATAAATGTGCTACGTAAAGTCCTGGACGATTCTTAAATCACATTATCGATGGCAGTTCTTATATTAGCCATCCTTGAATACACAGTTGAAGATAACATGTAATCGTGGGTGTCAAGAGAGTGATCATGATAGCACCAAAAGTAGGGACAGTGGTGGTGATTGTTTCTATGGTAGTTGCAATGCTGAGGATGGTTACTCTGATAGAAGCAGTAGTGGTAATGGTTACTATGTTAGAGACAGTGATTTAAATAGTGATGGTTTCTATGGTAGCTTCTATAGTACGTGATAATATGGGCGGTCAAATTTATGGATTTAAGTGCTATGGTTGACAGTGTTAGTTGTGATGGTTGCTATGATAGGGAGAATGTTAGTGATGGTGATGCTTGTTATGGAAAAGGCATTGTTATTTATGGTTATGGTTTTAATGGTAGAAATAGAATTAGTATGGGAGGGGGACTATAGGAGGGACAATGGTAGTGATACTAGCTATGGGAGGGACAATAGTAGTGATAGTGGTTATGGTAAACGCAAATGGTGATGGTGATCATATTGGTATCACGGTGGTGGTAGCTATCGTAGGGACAGTAGCTGTGAAAGTATGAGGCATAGGAGTTTTAAAAGTTTCGTAGCCAGCTTAACAAGTTTAACCTACAAATACTTTGGATATTTTAATATACCTTCTTATTCGTTTATGATAAATAATCAGAGATAGCATAGTGAAGTATATAAAAAAAATTAAATAATAAGTATTGTAACATTCATACTTGCAGTGAATAAAAAAAGAAGCAAATATAAAAAATTTTATAATAAATATTGTAACATTTATACTTGCATATATATATATATATATATATATATATATATATATATATATATATATATATATATATATATATATATATATATATATATATATATA